TTCCCTGTTTGAAAGTGCCATGCTCATAAGTGCTTTTATAAAAGCAGGTTGAAATTCTTATGTTTTTCTTTGTTGAGAAATTCTGAGATTACATTCATAATTCAACCAAAAAAGCCACTAGCCACAAAGGGCCAATACAAACTAACCACAAAGGGCTATTACAATAACAGAGTGATATAATATCAAAATTAAGACAATTTGGGGCTCCTCTACTAACGATCACGCATGATCGCGAAGAAACTCTGGCATAGGCATTTCAACTAAGAGTGCACACTCAAAACAACTAAATATAGATAAAATTTGAAAAAATCAACCCATAACATGTTGAAATTCTTATGTTTGGACATATATATAGTTTGAATTTTCATCCTGGCCGGTCTAAAAATAAATGGCTTAACATGATTAGAGAAGGGAAGTCTTGGAACCTAGAGTTGGACCAAAAGGCCATTAGCGCAATTTTAATTTACATGCTTAGAGAATCCTGAGGAGATTTGCATCTGATGGTTTTCAAACGAGGAGTGAGAAATCAATGTCAGCTGAAGGAGTGAGATTTGCCTGAGGAGATTTGATCAAATCCCGAATTAAAGTATATCTTCTCTGAATTTGACCTCAAACATTGGAGGCCAAACGAGGAAGGTTTTCAAGTTGGTGGCATTCATAGGCTGGTAAGAGCATTTTCACCTATTTGTCATGATAAAAAGCAAGTGAAAATAAGGGTTGTGTACTATTCACATGAATAGTGCCTGCCCTTGCAATTTTTTTGTTGGTTTTCCATCTATTGCCATAACAACCCAAGGGCAACCATTATTCACATGAGATATGAGGAGAGGAATTTGTATAGCGTTTTGGTGTGGGAAGTGAAGAATATGGCTAGGTATTTATTTCAAAAAAATTATGAAAATTATGAAAATTTTGGTGTTTTTTTTTTCCCTTTTTTTTTCATTCAATCTTTTGTTATTTAAATTAGCTGCTGACATCACAATGATGTCAACATTAGGTCAGCTTGCCCAGGCAGCAACCCAAGCAAATCTTGCCTTTGGGCTTGTCTAGACTGGTGGAGCCTAGCTCTTGCCCTGACAAGAACGTTGGAAACACATTTGGGGGCCTTTTGCCCGGGCTGGGGCCTCCTGGTGGAAATGCTCTAAGAGCTCTATATATACTCCAGTTGAAGAATAGAAGTTATTCTTATAAGACGTACTAGGTTAACTCAAAAATACTTTAAAACTCATTCTCGATTGGATGGAGGAAAATAATTCGGAATTTAGTTAAATGTCAGGAATTGAAGAGGAGAAATTGATACTACATTGTTTGGCAACTTAAGCATGTTAAATGACATGAGGAAAAAAATCGTGGAAATTGGGGATTGAGATTTTCGAGTTTAATTTTCGCTAAAAGATGCATCATTTCACAATTTCTATTGTGCAAGAATTCATTTTTCCATGTAATTTATGTCATTTACAAAATTTAACATACATAAATCCAAAAACTGAAATTATTAATTGTTAGAAATTTAAACACTAAAATTATTAATTGTTAGAAATTCATTATTAGTTGTCATTTAAGAATTCTATGTCATTTTCAATTAGTTCATCCAAAGAAGGTAAATATTTTTTTTTTTTCAAAAAATACTTTAAAGTTGTTGTGCTAAATATTGCCATAAGCATAGTGGGTTAGCTATATAGCACTACCAAACAAACTCGTAGGTAAAGGTGAATTAGGTAAATAAGGGGAAAAAGTGGCCGAGGCTAGCTAAAAACAAATGTAAAGTATATTTTGTAGCCCATAAGTCCAAGCCCAGCCCCTTTTGTGATAAAAAAATCCATTTCCACCCAATATGGGTAGCCTACTTTCACCCTAATGCCACTGCCCTGCCCTGCCCTATATTACCAAAGTTGTCTTTGAAGTAGGTTTTGGAAACTTAACACTTGTATAAAATATTTCCGGTGTAAACCAGTCGTATTTCCAGTCAACCCAACCCAATAACACTCAGAAACACGTGCAATTTTAGTATTTTAACTTTTTTTAGAGACACGCTTGTAAGGTCTATCACGCATTGTATTTCAACGATTCAAATCTCATTTTCTAAATATTCCCTCAAAGATCATCTATGGAAAAAAAAATCACTTGAATATGACTCTATTAACAACTCGGTTAATGCTTGTTATTTGATGTTTTCTTTAAGTAACGTGTTTGTCTATTTTGTTGGTCAAAACTAGATATTTTAATGGTTTTTAACTTAAAATAAAATTTGTAGTTGACTCTCCAAAGTTGTTTCTAAAATAAAGTTATATGAGGAATCACTTAATAGAAAGGGATTGTATGCACATAATATAATTAGTCTAATTAATTAAGGTTTATTATAAAGTTGTGATGTATCTACTGCCTTTCTTGGCTATAATCCGAGTGCTTTTTCTATTTAATTAGGTTATGCGCACTTGGTTCTCGTGAAGTGCACGGTTCTAGCTAGCTACCACCATGTCCATGCATTGCGTGATGCAACATACCAACAACAACGCACTAATATTTGCTCTCCATCTCCAACGTCCACTTTTATGGAAAAATTACTTCAACAAAACAAATTTTAACACTGCTTCCATTCTATAATGCCATGCATAGCAAAAAGATAAAAAGGCGTTGAAGTACGTATTGGACTAATGATGTTACTTATTTTAAAAGTTGATTTTAACAACCATTAGTGCCTTTGGATCATTCACGGATGAAGAAAAATGTGGAAAACACATTGGGAATGGTCGTCTGGAAATAATTCGAGTTAACTAGAGTCTCCATCTAAATTAAAAAGTATCATTGATCTAAATTAAAAAGAGAAAAGAAGACATATTGGGAGTAAATTTCGACGGAGGGAAGCCAAGCCCTTGAAAGTTCCTAAAGGCACATCTGCAAATGTTTGATGTCTCCATCACAACTCTAAATAAGATGGGATAAGAATGATAAAGGTCATGTTCATTATGTGGTTGTTCATGAACTTATGTTTGTGGACCATTATTATAAGCAAAAGAGAATAATATTGTTTATTCTCCTACTAGTCAATCTAGGAGAGGTGAAATTCGAAAATACAAAAGTTCATAAAAGGAGAAATTATAGAATACTATGGTATGGCCACGTGATACATCTTGTATACGCGTTATAATATGGGTGGACAATGAGGTTTATTTTCCCCCTTTTTAGGGAATAGTATCCATAAATATCAACTTATATTATAACACGTGTACAACCATACTACCATATTATTCTATAATCACTTTTTTTTTTTTTTTTTTAAAAGGCTGAAACATGACTTCTTATAATGTTGATGTCAAATAAAAATTGTTAAATTTCGATTTGATGGCAACCTGACATTTCGTAAATTTTTTAAGTCTATTCAAAATATCAAATATCAAATTATTTTATTACACATATATCTATCTTTTTTATTAATTTAAATGAGGCCCATATCATCAATACAGTTTTTTTTTTCCGAAAGAATAATCAATTAGATGTCAATTTCGATATCAAGCATGTTCCCTTCAAATTCATATAGTATTTGAATACTCAGTTGAAACATTCTCCCTTAATTCATACCATTTCATGCTCATGCGACAATTTGGCAATTCTTAAGAGATGATTACTATTAACTAACTTATTAACTAGTTAGTGCCAGTTTGGTATTGCTTATTTGGGGTAATAAGTGATTTTTTAAAAAATTTGGGAAGCCCAACCCGTTTGGTAAACTATGAGAAAATCACTTATTATTAAAAATTGCTGTGAAAGAAAGCTATAAGGGAAAGCAGCTAATAAGGTGCTTTTATTTTCTCATTATGCAGGAATCAATTTCGAAGAGGCGCTAGGTTTAATGATTATGCAGGAATTATTTTCGGATTACGCAGGAATTAGTACCAACAACACTCTTAACAAAAAGTTTACCAAACGCCAAACTACTTTCTCTCACAGCTGATTTCTTTCACAGCAAATCTGACAGCGATTATTTTCATAGCACAGCAATGCCAAACTGGCCTTTAGTGGAGTTGGCCACAACACTGTTAGTAGAGTGGGCCACAACATTGTTAGTGTCGTATTAACTTATTAACTAGTTAGTGAAGTAGGCCACAACACTTTTAGTGGAGTGGGCCACAACACAGTTAGTGTAGTGGGCCACAACACAGTCTTATTAACTAGTTAGTGAGAGTGGACCACAACACAGTTAGTGTCGTATTAACTTATTAACTAGTTACTGGAGTGAGCCACAACACTGTTAGTGTCGTGTTAACTTATTAACAAGTTAGCACTATATATATATATATATATACACATACTAAAAGTTACATAAATGATATATGAATGATAGAAGTTACATTTGGTGAAAGCAAAGTAGGCGAGTACAAACAAAGTTTAATTACAAATATTAATATTTAAGTTTATTATTAAGTTTACGTTATGCAAAAAGGTTGTAATTTGCATTTTAAACATTGTGGTTGACAAATGATTAGATAATAGCGTAAATACACCTGAGTACATTGTTGTTTTGTTGCGCTAGAATTTTTGTTTTTTTTTGTTTTTGACAAACGATAGAATATTTACTAAATAATTTTTACAACATGTCAATAGACTCACAACACAGTTACACCACTGAAATGAGACTAGTAAATATATATCATTCCATCTTTTGCTTTAGTTTCCCTTTTAGTGGCTCAAATTTTTTTGTTAGTTTTTTTGGTCGGTAGTTTCTCAGAAAGTTACATGTATAGTGGGTTATTCTAGATGCAAAGTTGGCTACAACTTCTTTCTGTATGTAGGCTAGGATTATTCTAGTAATTTGCTGCACAAATTCTTTCTGTATGTAGCTGTTTCCTTTCGGCCTCAGATTTTGTAGTTAGCTAGTTGAATATATAGGCCTCCATGTGGTACGTAGGTGGTGACGTGGGGAGCTCCCACAGAAGCCAGAGCCACAGAGCTTTAAAACCTCAAATACAATCAGCCCAATTCACTCCTCAATTTCTCTCTTTTATCACTCAAACCTCTCTCTCACTCTCTCTCTCTCACTCTCACTCTCTCTCTCTCTCCAGTGTGTTTGGTGATGGGGGTTCATGAGATTTGTGATGCTTTGCATGACATGAAGCCAGTGTTGTTAATGGTGGCGGTTCAGTTTTCATTTGCTGGGGTTAATATTTTCTACAAACTGGCGACTAATGATGGAATGAACTCAAGGATTATTGTTGCATATCGCTTCATTTTTGCAACCGCCTTCCTCCTTCCTATTGCTCATATCATTGAAAGGTGAATATTAATATTGCATTTCTCTTCTTTGATAAGATTAAATTAAAAGTTATTTCCATCTTTTGCGTATTTCAGAACGAAGAAATATTCAATAATGTCATATTTGCTAGAGCTTTCCCTAATTGCATCATGCATGCTCTGTTGATGACGTGGTTTCAGTAATATCTTTCAGAACATTCAATGAGTTCATCATATACACACCAGAGAAGTTTCCTTTACAAAAACACTCTGGGAAAATAAGAAAGAAAAGAAAAGAAAAGAAAGGGAAAAGGAAATCAAATCCTAAGTGCTACCTTTTGACATATTGCCACATTGACCACTTACATGTTTCAAACCAATTGGTGTTAAATTTGTTTTATTTACATGCAGGAAAGCCAGGCCAAAGCTCACATGGATGGTGCTCTTGCAAGGATTTTTGTCTGGCTTGTTTGGGTAAGCAACTTTTCCCTGTGCAATTGTGTTTCTTCAATCTTTATTACCAAAATTATTTTGTTCTGGGTTATAATTATATGAAGAAAATTTTTACTTTTATTTTTATAGAAATAGTATAAAGCATATATTTATGACATCCAGGTGAAAGAATAACTTAAATACAGAAATTCTCCTTTATCGACGTCTGGACGTTATTATTATGTGGACGTCATATATTTTCTATTACTCCTCTCTGCTTTCCTCCATATTTACAGTGGCATCCCCACAATAATAATATGTGGACAACCAAATAAGAGAATAACTATATATATATATATATTTTGTATTGTGCATGTGGAGATATATTAGTGCTTACAGTTGATAGTCCACTAGAAATAGAAGCCAACTGTGGCCATTGCAATCTCTGAAGTACGCATGTCCACAACTTTTTACGTGACTCTTGTTATCTTCTAGGCTTTCAAAAAGCAACATGTACAGTTGTTGACCCAAATGAAAAAAGATATAGCTAAAAAGGTTCAATATTAATGCAGGGGATCATTGTCACAAAATTTGTACATTCAAAGCTTAGCCTTGACATCTGCAACATTTGCTTCTGCCATAGCCCAACTCATCCCAGCCTTAACTTTCATCTTCGCCATCACCTGCAGGTAAATTTATGTTGTGTTTGGTTTCATTAAGGATTTTATATTAATAAATTTTTCATACAAATAATATTAAAGGAAGTGGAAATCGAACCTATCTAAGATTTCTAGTGTTGAAGTAAATGTTGTTTTAACTCTCTGCATAAATTGATGAATTGTGATTGGTTTGCTTTGGTTATATAGGTTGGAGAGACTGAATTTAAGAAGCATAGCAGGGAAGGCAAAGGTGTTGGGAACATTAATGGGAATTGGTGGAGCGATGGTTCTGACATTTTACAAAGGTATGGAGATCAACATCTGGTCTACACATGTTGACCTTTTGCATAGTAGTCAGCAACAAATCAACCACTTGGCAGCATCAGCTCATGCAGACGCCGGTAATCGACTATTGGGCTGCCTACTGTCCCTGGGGAGCTGTTTTGGCTTCGCTTTATGGCTCATTATTCAGGTGACACATTCACATACAAATTTAGGGGTATATTCATAAGCGCTTTTATTAGAAGACTGTTGAAATTTTTGTTAAAAATTCAAGAGCTTCTTTTAGAAAAATATTTGAAAGTACAGAGATCGTTTTCATGACTCATAAGCACTTTAAAATTGTTGTGTCAAACTCAATTAGAAGTGCTTTTGATTGTTAGAAAACACTTTTAGTCCTTACAAAAGCATTCCTAAACATGCCCTAGAGAGAAAAAAGAAAAACCCCCTTTTCATTCCTCCCTATCCGGCCATGACACTGCCAAAGCTCAGTGCCCTTGAAATTCTTATTAGTAATATATATTTTGATCACATTAGAGTAATATATATTTAGTTTTTTTTTTAATTTATAAATTTGTTTCTGTTTGTGCAACAGACTAAAATGGGGGAAACGTACCCTTGCCACTATTCAAGCTCTGCTCTAATGTCGGCAATGGGGTCAATCCAGGCCGTTGGATTTGCCCTCATCATGGAGAGGGACTGGAGCCAATGGAAATTAGGTTGGAATATTAGGCTTCTCACAGTGGCATACGCGGTATTACCACCCTAAGCTTTCTTCTACTATTTGTTGTTCTTAAATTTCCATCACCCTCATCTAGAAATATTGCGATTTGATCTTATATGTAGTCAATTAATAATAATTGAATATGGCTATGCTCATGACTTTTTTTTATGTAGGGAGTTGTGGCCACTGGGCTAAGTGTGACATGTATTGCTTTGTGCATACGCATGAGAGGCCCCTTGTTTGTATCTGTTTTCAACCCTCTTATGTTGGTGCTTGTTGCCATTGTTGGGTCTTTGGTATTGGACGAGAAGCTGCACCTTGGAAGGTATAATATATACCACTTTTTTATAGAACTGATTGAACGATCTCTCAACTAGGGCCGACCTTGAGATTCTGAAAATTTATCATGAATTGATGTCGTAAAACAATAAAAGTAATGAACGAGAAATATGTATATACGTTTGGGGCTTTGCTTGCATTGAATTTAATTATTAATTATTTGTTTAATTTGCAAATAACAGTGTGTTAGGAGCAGTACTGATAGTGTTCGGCTTATATGCTGTGCTGTGGGGTAAGGGCAAAGAAATAAACAAGATGAGTCAATCAGTGGCGCCCTCTGCAAGCTTTCATCATCAAGATTCTGGATCAATTGATATTGTTATAATGCCTAATGGCATGAGCAGCAACAATGAGGGCCTAACAAATAATAATGCTCCAAATACTGTAGAAGAAAGGAGGATTTGAAGAAAACCCAGCTACAATAATGTGATAACAAAAATGTTAATTATTGTAATGCTTTTGTAGGTATCCCAATTCCAATTACCCAAATATTTGGGAGTTTTGGTATTGTTCCGTGTATATAAGATATTGTATATAGATCCATCCCCTTCAAGTAAATTTTTGGGGAGGTTATAAATATATGTATGTTAAATATTTTTATACAAATGATATTGGGATATTTTATGTGTGTAAGGGTAACTCATTAACCAATGAATTATATTCTGTTCCTAACAGCATAGTGACTAATCATGCTAAGTTTTGGGCCTATGTGCAACTCCAATCCATTTAGTTAAGAACAATGCTACCCTGGCTGAAAAGGAATTCCAAAATCAATGGTGCCTTTCAAATACCTCAAGATTCTCTTTGTAAGCTGGGGGTCCTCGTTGTGCTTGTGGCCTTGACTTGGGTCAAGGTTAGGGTGTATCCCTGAATGTGTGGGTAAGTTGCTCTCTGGAGGTGACCTGCACACTTCAAGCAACTATCAAAATAAGGGCAGACTGGGTTGATCCCAGTTGAACCCCCTTCAATGGCTAAGTTAGAAGTGTTTTTAGAGTGGAGAGAGGGATGGAGAGTTTCAAGATGAGAATATTTATTTCCTTTGTCCCAGAAGGAGAGATCATCTCTCATTCAGTCTTCCCAAAAAAGAGATCTTTATCTTTCTCCTTTCCCAATGGTGGGATTGGAGAGCAACTATTGGCCCTCATCACCATGCTGGTTACTAAGGATTAAGTAGCAAGGCGACACTTGGCTTGGATGTGAAGCGCATTAAATGATCCCTCTCCGTCACCATGCTGGTTATCAGGGATCAAGTGGCAAGGCGACACCTAACTTGGAAGTGAAGCACATTAAATGATCTCTCTTCATCACCATGCTAGCATTAGGCGCATGAAGTGACTGACTTGACAAGGGTCTGGTCATGTCATAACATCAATGCATGTGTCTCTGGTCACACGACATCTCAGTGGTCGGGTCGGTGTATGAGTGCCCGACCACAGGTTCACACGGTATCTCCTGACAAGTTCGGCTAGGAGGCCTTTTATTGACACCCGGGGTGGTCAATTTGGTTGGGTCGGTACAAAGGCGATCTGGTCTCTTGTGGCCATGTGGTGCTCTCTGAAAGGCTCGGCTTACAGTGATGATATGAACCATTAACACTCTTAACAGCAACATTTGATTCCATGAGATTGTGTGTAAATTGATAAGCTTGATTCATTGAGAAAGCAAAATCTGGCCTGGTGAATGTGAGGTATTACAGAGCTCCTACAACAATGCTTCGGAATTGTTGTGGATGAGAATAAGGCTTCCCATCATCCTTTGAGTAATCTGTGACATGGAATGGCACATGGTTTTGCAAACAAAGCCCAACAAAGCCTTCCAGATAAAAAGAAAGAAAAAACATCCGTCAAGCTCAAGACATAGATTAGCTTCTTTTGAGAGAGAGAGAGAGATACGTGTACTAATGTGAAATGAAAATTTCTGTTGTAATATACTATTATAATGTAATGTTTCATTTTTCTAAACAAAACACAAAAGTTGATGAAGGAGAGAGTCTCTACTTTGCATTTTCCAATACTAGTAATTAATGTTATTATAATGTCATTAGTCACATTTTACATTTTGTCTACGTTACTTTCATACACTAGTAATGAATGTATTATAATGGCTTTTTTCTATTTATTCTTTTTCGGTATTAAGTGTTTTGCAAAGCAAGTTTACACTTCAGAAAGAAACCTTAAACTTTATTTTAAAAATTTTAAAAATTTTTTTTTTAAAAAAAAAGCGATAATATTTATTGATGAAACTGAACAAGTATAAAGCACATTCTACACATGCTTAATTAATATTGGTGCAGCACATTTTACACATGCTTAATTAATATTGGTGTTTCCTAATATTTTATTAATAAAAATTAGAGGGCAAAATGAAAAAAGGTTTCTACCGAAAACGTCGACAGCAGGGTTCGAACCTGCGCGGGCGAAGCCCAACAGATTTCAAGTCTGTCTCCTTAACCACTCGGACATATCGACACTCGTGTTAGCTTGTATTTCCCTTATAATACGTGCCTTAAGATCGCAAAACTTGTATTTCCCTTATTTGGTTCTCCTTATCAAGGAAACGGAGAAATTGGCAAAATGTTCCCTTCACAACAAGAATCCATGGAAAGCTTTAAACCTCCCACTAAAAACCAGAGAATTGTTACCAGAAGTAACAACCGCTGAATTTGTTGATTATGATCATCAGCACCCTGCACGTGTAAATCTTGTGGGAAGGAGTTGAGTTGCATGGTCTCTCAAACCTACAGGTGTGTCGAAATCGCCAGATAATTAACGTAACGTAAGACCAAGAAATAATATGTAAATGCTTTTCTGCTTCTGAAACCAAGAAATAAAATGTAAATGATTATAAGGCCAACACAACACAGCTAGCTGCTTCTCACTAACCCCAAACAAATCATTAAAACCCCTCTCTCTCTCTCTCTCTCTCTCTCTCTCTCTCTCTGGCAGAGATAATGAGAGAGAAGCACATTTTCTGTAGCAGTAGCCTAGTAGAGGGGTTGAAGCCAGTGATGATGATGTTGCTGGTTCAGGCGGCATATACAGGGATGAATATATTTTACAAGATGACAACAGAAGTTGGAATGAATTTGACTGTCCTTGTTGCCTATAGGAACATGTTTTCTGCGGCCCTTATGGTTCCTGCTGCTCTTATAATTGAAAGGTTCATTAATTTAATTGAATTTCTTCCAAGTTAAAGTTCTTTTTCTTTTTGCATTTAATTTATTTACCCAAGTTGAAGGCCATCCTTTGACCCATCACTCATGGTTATTTCATAATCCATAGGAAGAGCAGGCCGAAACTTACATTAGCTATACTCTTTCAGGCTTTTATCTCAGGATTATTGGGGTAAGTGTGGTCCAAATTACTAAAAACCTAGCTTTGTGAAAGCATTTCTCAGAATTCAATTCGATGATTTTTGATGTATTTCAATTTAGCTGTAAAAAAAGTGTACAAGTTCAATTTTATTTCTCACATATAATATATATATTTCAGGGCAACAATATCACAAAATTTTTACGTACAGAGCGTAGCCTTAACATCAACGACATCTGCTACGGCCATCACTAATCTTGTTCCAGCCATCACCTTCGTTATAGCAATATGTTTCAGGTAATTCTATATAGAATAGACTTTAATACCTAAAAATAAAATAATTTTTCCAGCCCAATCGGGTCTAATCCAGTGAAAAATGTTTTCTGCATACCAGTAGTTTTATATTCGAACCTCTATACACTATGATAATGTGCGTGCATCTTGATAAGTTGCGTGTGAAGAAACCCTTCTCCCTTCCTAACTTAGGAAAAAAAAATCATTTTTCCAGCTTTAATTTGACTATAATTTGAATTATGCGGGCAATAATAATGCAGGTTGGAGAGGTTGGCACTTGGAACGCATGCAGGGAGGGCAAAGGCTGTGGGGACACTTGTGGGAATAGGAGGGACAATGGTCTTCACGTTTTACAAAGGGAAAGAAATTGCCATCTGGTCAAAACATGTCAACCTTTTACATGACTATACCCATCAAAACAGCCACGTGGCGTCATCACATAGAAACACTGGCAGTCAATTGTTGGGCTCCTTCTTGGCACTCGGGTCTAGCACATCCTTTGCATTGTGGTTGGTATTTCAGGTTCGTTTCCCACATATTCAATTAATATGAAGGGATAATGCATTTTTGCAAGACTGTTTGGCAAAATAAAATCTGGATCGTGGATTAAGTTTATTTTTATCTAAAGATGTGTTCGAGATTCAATTGACATAAGCATCTATTTGGTTGGTATTTCAGGGTTTAGGATATTTCAGGTGTGTTTCCCACAAATTCAATTAATATTGTTGAGCAAATTGATAGTGTTGGAAATGCATATTTGTGAGACTGTCTGGGAAAGATTAGATTGTTGAGCAAATTGATTTTTGTCTAAATATGTGGTCGATATTTAAATTATAATAATATTGAAGGAAGTTGAGGTTCCACTTCAAAACCAATTGGTAAGGGGGGAGTAGTCCAACTTCTACATCGGTCTGATTTGGCCGGTTTAGTCCTTTTTGATATAATTTTGCAAAATTCAATACTAAATCGTACTGAATCGAGGAAACCGGTCAAGTTCATGGTGCCACAACAAACCAGCGGTTGAGACTGGCCACCTTGAAATAGAGTGGCATGTGGGGATTGTTGAAGAATATGAAGTTCCACATCGGAAACTTTTCATCTAATCCAATGATTTTTGTATAAAACCCCACACCTGCCGAAAATGCAGGTCGTTAAGTTAGGGACAATGTTGCTAGTAGTGGGTCACTGACCCATTTCTCTGAAACTTTCCGTCTAATCCCGTTGTTTTGTTAAGTTTGTGTTTTGATAATTTCGTATATACAGGCGAAAGTGAGCAAGACATACCCTAGCCAATGCCATTACTCAAACACCGCTCTGATGTCTTTAATGGCATCAATTCAGTCCGTAGCTTTTGCACTATGCAGGGGGAGGGATTGGAGCCAATGGAAGCTGGGTTGGGACATCAAACTTCTTACTGCTGTATATGCGGTATATGATCTAATTTCAGATTAAAAATCTTTAATATGGAAGTTAATTACATATTAATTATATTTAATTTATCAATTCATCCTCTTGGCATTAGCAACAGCTAAATATTGTTTAATATATATTGTGTGTACTTTGTGTTGTGTGATGTAGGGGGTCGTGACCACCGGACTTGTATTTACTGTAATTGCATGGTGTGTTCAGATGCGGGGCCCATTGTTTGTGTCGATTTTTAACCCACTTTGCTTTTTGCTGGTAGCCCTTTCTGGGTCTTTGTTTCTGCATGAAAAGTTATACCTCGGAAGGTATACATGGTTTCTCTATTCCTTTGGTTTACTTATTCAATGAAGGGTGTAATATTTTGATACCACAACTCTAATAGATGCGGGACTCACTTATATAAATAGGCAGTCTCTTTATTATAGTGGCGTGGTCTTAACTGTTGGAGTTAGCCCGAATAGAGAGGGTGGGGAAATGAGTTAGAATTAAGATACATGATATAGGTCAAAAGTTGGATTTCTCCGTTGTGAGTTATCTCGAATGGAGGGTGGGGAAATGAAGTTAGAATTAGACTTATAATTAGGATATAGGTCAAAAATCCATCAATGGAATTAAAAACACATACATTAATCCTTATGGACGAGTGCAAATATAGAACTCCTATCATAATATATAGGCACACAAGTGACCTTCTCCACAATATTATTATATAAATTTTTATTTCAGTCTTGTTATTCTGGGTAATTGTATAATAGAGGAAATAATCCTGAGCGAAAAACATGTAAGTCTATAAGTTAAGGAACATGAGCTAGCTATTACATGAGATCTAGTTATACTAACAATGTGGGTTAGATCATATGACTAGGGCAGTGTGCCTGTCCTGTTGCATCGGGTTCGCATCCCTTTCTCCGAGTTTGGATCCCCTCCCGTAGATTAATTAGAGTAGTTTTAGTGTCCCTTTAAAAAAAAGTTCTACTAACGTCTGTATATATTGCTTATGCTTTGCAGCATATTAGGAGGAATGCTAATTGTGTGTGGGTTATACATGGTGCTGTGGGGTAAAAACAAAGAGATGAAGATGATGACTCAACTACCATCAATAAGGTTTCAAGATCAGTTAAGATGTGACAACAACAATACAAATGTCGCGCCTAATGCACTTTCCATCTCAAATGCTCCTACGGACGCTACTCGAACAACAAATTGAGGTTTGGCAAGTTATTATAACCAAATAAACACATAATGGGATTCAACAGGACCCTCTGGGTTTCAAATTGTGTGCTTCGTTTGTACCTATGAATTAATTAATGGAGGAGTTGGACTAACTTAATCTGATAATTTATCATCTGCTGAATCATTAGCAGGTTTGAAGATACATTTTCTTGAGGGGATGCAAATTTGTTGAACCTGAATCTGTCATCTCATACTCTTGCATTATTGCTTCTTTGAATCTTTGGACCATTTCTATACTTATTATACCTGTATAGATAAGATTTCATGTACAGGCAAACCAACAAGTGATCTACACCTTCATTTTTTACATATGAATATGTTTCACTTGGGTCGCTTTGAAAGCCAGTTTACTGAAGTTACCTGTCAATCTTACTATTCCATGCATGCGGTCCTTGCTTTAGGCCATATAAGGCCTTTTGAAGCTTGCACATTTTTTATTCTGCTCCTTTCGTTTCGTATCCCCTCAATTGTTTTACATACACTTCTTCTGCTAACTCCATAAGGGCACACATATACGTTTTGGACAGTGTGTCATGATGCATTGCTCTTTGGGGGCTGTCTACACACGTATGACCAACTAGTTCAGTAAGATTATCCCCCAACCCGTGTGGTTGGACAACTTATTCCCCCTCCACGATCCCCCAACCCGAGCGGCTGGACATGTCATTTCCTCTCCCCAATCCCCCACCCTGCACGTGTGAGGTTGGTCAGCTCATTCCCTGGCTATGATTTTGCCGTTAAGTGCTGACGTGGCATGTCTGATGTGGCGTTAAGTGCTGACATGGCATATCCGATCAACTCCGTTGGAATTTTTGTTTATGCATATGCTTTCCCACTGAATTTTTTCAAAGAGAGATCTTCTTCCTTTAAATTGTTTATCAACTGAAGTCCTTTTCGAATCATATTCAGTATCATCTCCACAAGCATAACTCCACTTGTAGCTCGTGTTGGTATTGTCCATGTGTTTAATTCAATGGAATGAAGATCACTATCACCACCTGAGTCGTCCTCATCATCACACTCTTCTCTATATGCAACAACTTCCATTCCATTACCTTCTTTCTTTGCACTCTGAAATTATCCGAAATTTATTTTGTTTAAATAAGCCTCAAGTTCTTTGATCCTTTTCAAATCTAGTGTTGTGTGATAGAGTGTATTAGGGGTGTACTAGGGGTATTTTTTGGTAGTTAAATAGAGTGTACTTAAGACTAGTTTGACATTGCTGTGCTGTGAAAATAATCACTGTCAGACTTGCTGTGAGAGAAAGCAGTTTGGCGTTTGGTAAACTTTTTGTTAAGAGTGTTGTTGGTATTAATTTTCGCGTAATCAGAAAATGATTCCCGCATAATCATTAAACCTAACCCCTCTTCGAAACTGATTCCTGCATAATCAGAAAATGAAAGCACCTCATTAGCTGTTTTCCCTTATAGCTTTCTCTCACAGCAATTTTTAACAATAAGTGATTTTCTCATAGTTTACCAAACGGGCTGGGCTTCTCAAAATTTTTAAAAAATCATTTATTACCCCAAATAAGCAATGCCAAACTAGCACTTAGTTAATTTTACATTTTGAATTAAATATTAGGATATACTCAGTTAATTTTAGAGTCCGTTTAATAATACCCTAAATTAATCTCGGTCCTCTTACCCTCTCCTTTTTCAGTTGTTGTCGAAAGGGCTTGGATATCCGTTCTTCGATTTCTCAGGTCTTCAATGTCAAGGCATCCGTTTCTTTTCTTTGTTATAAAATTTTCTTTTGGGTTTGAAAGGCATCCATTCTTTTTGGCCTTTGGAACTGTATTCAAGAAAAAGAATGTGCTGCAAGGAGGACAACCAACAGGAGGCAACACCTAAGCCACTAGGCACCAAAGGAAACAACACAGTACTAAATGGAAAAACTAGAACCCAAAACATCAGCCTTTATTATTAATTGCAAGTGTGAGGATAATATATACTGATGATTAGAATATACACCGATGATTTTCGAAAGGCTTGGTTTTTCAATTGACTTGTACATAAATAAATAAATGAAATCCTAAATACTAGGCACAACTGAAGCAATTTAAAACGGTACAAAAAACATGATCCTAAATAAATGGGAGTCAACCTGCTCAATAATGTCAATATGTCTGTCTGGTGGTGTTGCTTCATACGAATCTGACTGAGTTTGATTGCCTCTTTATAAACTGTTGGGAGGCTGTCATTTATTTTCTTTTTCTACAAAACATACCTTTCTTTTCTTTTCTTTTTTCTTTTTTTTTAAGAGAACAGAAGACTTTTTTCTTTATTTTTCCCTACTAAATTTAGTATTTTGATTTCTATAAGTGTGGTGGCTATTTTAGCATCTTCCAATTAATGTCTAATTTTTTTAGAACTATTTACACTAATATCCTCTCAAGTTTTTTATTTTTCCACGAAGCCCCCCTGAGGTTTTAAATTTTTTCATAAAATCTCTTTCCGTTGATTTCCAATGATAATTTTATTTAAAAAAATATTCAAATGACAAAGTTAGCCTTTGAGATTAAATTGTATATACATTCATTGAGGTTGATTTTTTTATGTACACAAGTTTTTATATTTTTATTGAAACCATCAAGTTTTGCAAATGCAATCAACAAAAATGAGTTTTGTGAAAACAATTTGAAACGTGAAATTTTTGAAACCTAAGAGGTGTTATTGTAAATGACTCAACTTTTGTTGATCTCAACGTGTGAGGCAAAATATCTCAAGCAGAAAGTGCCAGTACCTGAAAAGCAAATTAAAATCCTGATTGGGCCACAAATCATAAATCACGAGAGATCCCAATTAAAATCCTGGATGCAACCGCCATCAGGGCTCAGGTTGTGAGTGGTTCTACTGGTATATGCTATAACAACGTAAAAAATAAAACAAATAAAATAAAATAAATAAATATTAAACAAAGAAATCACAACACACTTGAGAGCAGAGCATGTGAACTAGTTGATCCTCCTATCGTTTTCATTAGTTTTTAGACCTGCCCTAAACCATAAACACTATAAATACAGCAAAAGCCATCGTTCTTTCTTACCTCTCTCAACTCGACAATCAAAATATTGATGGCAAATAGTGTCATCAATTTGATGGAAAAAATGCAGAACTATAAAGTGGCAGATGGGATGAAGCCTGTGATGGTAATGGTGCTGGTTCAGATTTTGTTTGCGGGGATGAATATCTTGTACAAACTAGTGGCTGAAGATGGCATGAATTTTACGATTCTTATTGCCTACCGTATGATGTTTGCTGCTGCCTTTATGCTTCCCTTGGCTCTCGTATTTGAAAGGTTAATACTGCTGCCTCTGTCTTTATCTCTTGTATTTGTCTCATATGATGTAGTGTAAATGCTTTTATTCACTCGAGTTATAAGAGCATCCACAGTGGGGAGGTGTAAATTCGGGGGTGTAAAGCCACTTTTACATCCCCTTTACACCTCCGGGGTGTAAATATGTTTTTTGCTCCAGTTGGGGGGTGTAAATTCAGGGGTGTAGCCGTTGGTCCCAGCATTTTATGTTGATTTTTCTTCATTTTTCTTCTCTTTTCTCGGGTGGGTCCCGCCTGCAAGGGATGTAAAAATGGATGTAAATATACATTTTATTTTATATCCCCATGGTGGTGATGTATATTTATATCCATTTACATCTCACAATTGGAGACGATTCCGGTGACTCGGGATGTATATTTAACATACACCCCCATATACACCCCCCACTGTGGATGCTCTAAGCCCTTACAATATCTGTAGGATAAATTTTTAGGGGGCACAAATTTTGCAGTACTTTCGTTAACCTCATGGATGTTTTGCGATAAAAAAACCCTTTTGAAAGACTCAATTGTATTCAAATAGTAGTGATGCATAAATTGTAGGCTGATCTCATTACACATAGCAATTAATATATAATTATTATCAATTTACAGGGACTGCAGAACAAAACTTACATGGATGGTACTGTTTCAAGCTTTTCTCTGTGGGCTATTTGGGTAATTAAGTGTTCTTCTCCTTGTCTTTAGTGCAAATTATTTAAATCTTCGATCATGACCATTCTAAGTACTTTTGGTTTTGCAGTTTAATTAATCATTCTTATGTGATACAAATGTCTTCACTGCAAAAAGCATTTTTAAACAGTGATCATGTTGTCTCAAAGTTAATTAATTCTTTACATTTTAAATTGAAACCAATTCACAAGAAATTTTTGTGGGATTCATATCTCCAGTAATTAAGTACACTTTATTTATTTCAGGGGTTCACTGTCTCAAAATTTATATATCGAGAGCATAGCTTTAACATCAGCAACATATGCAGTGGCCATGTATAATCTTGTCCCAGCCATTACTTTTATTCTGGCCATATTTTTCAGGTAATGTATTTGCAGGGCACCTTTTATTAATGATCTGCATAAAATTTAATGAATTTTCACTGTGCTTAAATTTATAACTTTCATGTTTCAGAATGGAGAAGTTGGCCATAGACACTAATGCAGGGAAAGCAAAAGTTGTGGGAACAGTTATGGGGATAGGAGGGGCTATGCTCTTCACCTTCTACAAAGGCATAGAGATTAACATCTGGTCTACACATTTTGATCTTCACAGCCAGCCAAATAGCCATGAGGCATCAATATCACACAAAAGTTCTGGAAGTCTTTTGTTGGGCTCCATGGTTTCTTTGGGTAGCTGTGTGTCCTATGCTATTTGGTTGATAATTCAGGTTTTAGTTTTTTATATTGTTTTATTTATTAACTGCTTTATCATAATTATTGTTATCAATCTTCTTCAAACATTGTTTTTTCTTTCATTTGGCACCTTTACTTGAGTGTTTTTATTTCTCTTCATTATTTGTTGGTTATGTATTTATTTCAATTTATCAGTGCAGGGAAAACTAAACAAGAGATTCCCTTACCCTTACTCAAGTACGGCTCTGATGTCCCTGATGGGATCAATTCAATCCGTAGTGTTTGCCCTCTGCGTGGAGAGGGATTGGAACCAGTGGAAGTTGGGCTGGGATATTAGACTTCTTGCAGTTTCTTATTCGGTAAATATTGAAAACTAGCAGTTTTGCAATTTTTTAGGTCAATGCCAGAAAGTTTTCTTTGGCAGCATGCCGACATGGTATTACGAATCTACCTGGATGATAACATGTTACTTGAACCAGAAACCCAGCATATTGTACTAATGATGGTACGCATGCTATAATTTGGATGGATTCGTAACACCCGCTCACATGTTCTTACAATCACAAAAGAATCTAGAATATCATTTATATGATTGATTTCACATGAGATCATTGGACGACACACTAAAGATAATCAATTATTTCAGTTGTAAGCCTCTCAGATTCTATTTCTATTTGAAATTTTGTTTAGGGAGTTCTTAACTCAGGACTTGCTGTGACCCTAATTGCATGGGTTGTAAAGAAGGGAGGGCCATTGTTGGTTGCAGTTTTTCAGCCTCTCTTGCTTGTGATGGTTGCACTTGCAGGGTCTTTGTTACTGGATGAAAAGTTGCACCTCGGAAGGTATGACATATCTATTGTTGCCTTGGAGATTTTGAATATATCTTTACCTTTGGGCTTTTCATAAATGATCCTCCTCTTCTGTAGTTAACTCAATTTTCATTTACCAAAAGCTGAATATTTATACTTTGTATCTGCAAATGTCAGCATACTAGGAGGACTGATGATTGTGAGTGGATTATACGCGGTGTTGTGGGGTAAGAGTAAGGAATTGCAGAAGATGACTCAATTAGAATCCCAAACAAGTCTCAAATATGAATCCAATTCTCAACCAATCCAAGTCGTTACATCTATTCGGGGAGATGTGAATTCTGAGAAGGAAATGGTTGAGAGGACGTGAAGCCTTAGTCAAGTCTCGTTTTAAACTATAGGATGAAGATATATATGTCTTCCTCTTTTTGGCAATTTGACGAAGGGAAATGAATATTACACATATATGGGAAGTTACACCAATGTCTCTGGATGGTAAAGTCTTTTCACTCTCTCCCCAGACAAAGAAATATAACATAGAACTCAACCACATTGTCCCTCCAATTTAAAATTTGTTACAGGGTCTTTGAACTTGAGACCGCTTTCAATCCCTTCATGTATGTTTTCAACTTCAAATAAATTCTAATTTTTTTCAGTGTACATTCTCAACATATTTTGAGATTTGACTAAAATTGGTAACAGACAAAAATCAGTGGTATTATTTTAACAAAATTAAAACCACATGACACTACTAGAAAAATGAAGCAAAAACCACATATCAGAAGGCCATGTGCATGAAAATGGTGGGCTTTTTGTTACTTAATAGCCACAGATACTATACATTTGTGTCTGCAAAATAACATTGGCTACAGACCATCCAGTGGCCACCAAGTAATTAGACACAGTTTATGTGGCCACTTGTCTCTTAGGGAAAACAAATGTCTTAAGACATACATTGACTTGTAGATAAACCATATAGACCATTTCTGAATTTCGCCCAACTATCCCCATTTGGAGTTTTTGTTAGATCCGATGAGAAGTTTAAAACTCAAACATATGCATCTTTAACTGAGAAATTATCAAGGAGCTTAACTCAAATAGATTAGGAATAGTTATCCGTGCATATGAAATTCTGTGTTAAAATCTCCCTTTCCTTGGCAAGCACACTGCCTGCACAATCCACAATAGGAGAATAAATTATAGAATACTACGGTAGTGGACAACATGATTTATTTTCCCCACTTAGGGAATAATATCAATAAATATCCACAATGTTTTTAGGGAATAAATGGGAACGAATTGGTGGCACTTTATTTTTTACACAAATTTTGACACAAGTTCCACACCTTTGGATTAGTCCACTATCAACGAATGAGGTTAAATCTAAAATGATAATCTAAATTCTTTCTTTTTTTTAATTATTATATACTGAATTAAAATTTTAGTTAAATTCACCACTCTCACTACCACACACCAAAAAAAAAAAAAAACCAAAAAAAAAGTGGCAACAGTCATCATTATTTGGTGACATTTGGTGACAAAAACCAAATAATGGTGACTATTACCACTTTTTTTTTTGTAGTGTCTATTTTCTCTCTATTCATTTATATTTTCACATCTGCCTATAATTGAGGTGGCATACCCACATCAGCTGCCACATCAGATTGTCAACTAATGTTGTTAATTAAGTGTGTCATACTACAAAGCTCTAATCATACTAATCGTATACCCATAATTAATCCTACGTTGAAGTCCAATTTTGTACTTTATAAAACTCAAAAAACCCTAACCTAGGCTTATTTTGATTAAATTCAATCAAAATCAAATTAGAAATACACATGAAATCTAGATTCAATCAAATCAAATCAAACATGCAAATTGGAAACCAAATTCAATCAAATAAAATCAAACATTCACATGGAATCTACAAAAATCAAGATAAGGAAATCCAGAATCCAAATCAGCTCTAAAGCTACAAGAAAACTCATAATCAAGCATTGGGGGTTAGGGTTTTAGAGAATCGCACTTTAGGAATGTCACTGAGAATTCAGCTTCGAAGCAATAGGGCTCCAGCAATAGTCTTCTAGCGAACAAGGAACTGGAGCTCTTGATAACTGTTAGAGAGAATTCACAAATTGTGAGAGAGAGATGGAGAGAGAAGTGATGAGAATGTTCACGTCTGAATGAAAAATAAAAAGAGGGAAATTAAAAAAATTCTTATATTTTAAGTGGATTGCAAATATATTGAGGGTTTTCGGCCAAAAAAATAATTTAATTACAAATTACGACATACTCAGTCGCACGCCGTAATATATATATAAAAAATTTGCATTCACGGCGTATATACAATCACGCCGTTAAAAGACACAAAAATTACCTTTTTTTAAGGCGTGTTTTCAATGCCATAAATATCAGTTCTTAACACCTATCTTTTTAAGGTGTGCTTTGTCATATGTCATAAATATTAGTTATTAACGACACACACAAAAAGTGTGCCGTAAATATCAAGTCGTAAAAGCTTCAATTTGGTGTAGTGCGAGCAACCAAAAAAAAATTAAATAAAGAAAAAACCTTAAAGAAGAAAGAGAATCAAAAAATTGGTAAAGCTTTAGAAGGAGTAGAGGATGTACCATTAATTAAAAGTTGAAAATATATTTGAGAAATTAATTTTATATGGTGGATATACCATTAATCTCTTATTTTGGTGATTATATCCGAAAATATCTCTTATTTTGGGAACAACTATTCATAATTACAAACTAAATCTTGAGAATCTCTCCCAAAAAAAAATTAAATCTTGAGAAAAGATCTTGCTCGGTTCAAATTCAGAATAAAATCCTGTTTAACTTAGGACAAATGTACTACGTACCCGTAGATTCACACGGTTCATGATATATATATATATATATATGTGTTTGTGTGTGTGTGTTCAAGTATCTGCAGCCGATTTGGCTCCACGCCCCAGAACATTCCATTTCAAATTACACCAAAATATTTGAGAATTGTTTTTAAACACACAAATTTTTTGTCTCAGTAGCCATCTCTCTCTCTCTCTCAACAATATTGCATATTTTTAATTGATAATATAGGAATAGGATGGTGTGCGTGCGCATCTGTAATGCGCTACATGGGTTGAAACCAGTGTTGGTAATGTTTGTGAGTCATCTTCTAAGTACAGGATTGAATATAATTTTCAAACTGATAGCAAACGATGGGATGAGTTTAAAAGTCTTCAGTGCCTACCGTGTCCTCTTTGCCTCTGCCGTTATGATACCTCTTGCTCTTGTATTTGAAAGGTTAATTCTTGCCTCTACCATTTGCTTTCTTTCTTTTTTTTTTTCTTTTTTTCATTTTCTCTAAATCTAGTTCTACCCGGCATTTAAAAGAGTTTTGCAATATACCTAGCGACTGACGTTTCCCTATATCGGCCGTGTTCTGCATTTTTTTCAAGGCTAGATGTAGTCTGTTTGACGGCGATGCTGCATTTTCACAATCTTTTTCATCATTTTTCATTATCTATGTGCAGGAACAAAAGACCAAAAATGACATGGACTGTGCTAGCTCAAATTTTTCTCTGTGCGCTATTTGGGTAAGTTTAATTCGTTCCTATTAATTACAGTATATATTTTGGGAAATGTTAGCATGCCAGGATGTTTTAACAATAAGGTGCCCTATTATTGCAGGATGACACTGGCTCAAAATTTATACCTGGAGAGTATGGTATTCATACCAACAACATTTACTGTGGCGATAGTGAATCTGATTCCTGTCTTCACCTTCATACTGGCCGTATGCTTTCGACAGGAGAAGCTGGGGCTAAGAAGCCTCCAAGGGATCGCGAAACTTGCCGGAACACTGGTCGGGATTGGAGGGGCAATGCTCTTCGTATTCTACAAAGGCATCACTATAAACGTCTGGCATCATACTGGCCTCTTGGCCATGCCCCAAAGCAGCACTTCATCTTCAAACCCTCATCACTCTAATGGTTATGTCTTGGGCGCTGTGTTAGCTCTGCTAAGCTGTTTGTCCACTTCAGCCTGGCTCATAATTCAGGTTTGTGTCTTAGATGACGGACCTTTTGTGTTCACGATAATAATCAAATGGTTAGATGGTTTCTGATTTGACCTGTTTATACCGAGTTCATTCTTAAAAAGAAAAAGAAGAAGAAGAAAAGAAAAAAAACTCGACCTGACCGATTTATATTGGAAAAAGTTGTACATTTTATCGCCTCTCGGTTAGCTGACACTAAGAAGGAAAGCTTATAGAGAGTAGAATCACCCTATGAGCTTAGATTGAAGGTTTTAACTCTTGGGATTTGAATGGACATCGATTTAAGATTTCATAAGAAATCTGATTCTTTCTATACATGCATATTATCTACATGTATTTTCTTAATTAAATTAGTCAAATTAACTACTTGCTTATAAATGCAGGGAAAATTGAGTAAGACCTACCCATGCCCCCTGTCAAACACAGCTTTGATGTCCGTCATGGGAACAGTTCAATGTGTGGTTTTTGCCCTTAGCACGGAGAGGGATTGGAGCCAATGGAAGTTGGGATGGAATATTAGACTTCTTGGAGTTTTTTATGCGGTACGTATAATAAATTTTAAAAAATCATTTTTTTAATTTAATTACAAATCGTTGTTTTTGCTGCATTCCCATGAGGTTTGAAAATCATGCTACAGTGCAAAGCTTTTATAAATAATTAAGTTTACTACAGTTCAATACAAACATAGCATTTATTTACGTTTGATTCTGGGTTAGGAATTTTATTTTATTTTTTATATTCTCTCTGCTAGTTAAAACAAGAAGAAAAATAATTTTAATGTCCATGTTATCATGCAGCTGATTGCCATTATTTGAATGTTTAATTTGTTGTGTGATGTAGGGAATATTGGGTTCTGGAGTTGTGGTGTTCATGACGACATGGTGTGTAAACATGCGAGGGCCACTGTTTGTAGCAAGTTTTAGTCCTGTCCTGCTTGTCCTCGTTGCCATATTTTGCTCTTTGTTGCTGGGAGAAAAGTTGTATCTGGGAAGGTGCATTTTCTATTCTTTTGATTTTATTTTATTCAACTAATAGCATGTTTACTTATCACGTTGAGTATTAGAATTATTCCGATTCATGTTTCTTCGGTGTTTATTAACACATGGAATTGACCCTACCTTTACTAACAGCTAATTTTAATCAGTAAAATGTTGTTCTTTTGTTTTGGGAATTACAGCTTTCTAGGAGGATTTCTAATCATATGTGGGTTGTACCTGGTGATTTGGGGTAAGAGCATCGAAATGAGGAAGATGACTCGAGTAGAACCAATAGAAACCCCCCGACCTTCAGAGGTTCATACCATCGAAATTGTTTCAACAACTCCTCAACCCATTCACAGTACGACCTCACGAGGTTAAAAACTTCATCAAACACAAGCTAAACATGGATTCGTTTGCCAGTCGCCTCTGCTTGGTAATTTTTGAACTAGCTAGAAGGGTTTGTTTGATTGGCATTCGGAGAGATATATGTGCAGTTATTTGGACTTGGAATAGAGACTTCAACCCAAAATGCTGCTGCGTTCGAGGAAGGCAGCTAATGCCTATATCTCCTGTTATAAACGAACAACAGTTAGATTACGAATTATTTGATGAAGTTAACAAATGAAATAGAAAGAGGGAAAAGAGGGTAGGTATGGAGATAAAAAGAATATATTAATTTTCTTTTTTGTTATGAGATTGTTGTAATATATGTGTTTTTTTTAGTGAGAGCAGCCTGAATTACCAGTAAACTTTTCGTTATTGCCAAATCAACCTTATATTTGATTTTCTAACTTTCTTTCAACTGTCACGTTTAAAATATTTTATGATGTTTGGAATATTGGGATCTCTAGGGGTGTCTTTGTAGAGACAATGTTCGAAAGGGTCAAATTTTTTATGATTCCATCATACATATGATTGAGTTGTGGAAACTTATGGATATGTCTTTCTACATCTGTAATGATTTCTTTTTTATTAAATAAATCTCTTTCTAGTTGCTTCGGAAGACTTAAGGCCCCGTTTGGTTCACGGAACGGATTTGAGAGAAAATTACTTCCCAAGAGATGGGAAATAGAAGATTCATTTTCCATGTTTGTTTTGAATAGGAATGGAAAACAAAGTTTGTATAATTTTCTAATTATACCCTTATTAAATCAAATAAAAAAAGAATGTATTTAATGATATATTGTAATTCTAAATTGTTAATGGGGACAAAATGGTCATGAAATTTGTGCATTTAATGTTGGCGCATACTTTCCCATAAGGAGGGAAAACAAAACCTAAGTTAGGAAGATGATTTCACTTTCCCATGTGTCAGGAAACCATTTCTCATGCTTGGACTTACCAAACATGGGAAAACAATTGATTTCCCATCCCCAATCCTCCTTTTACATTAACCAAACAAGGCCTTGGCACAACCTAGCTCAGCGACCTAGCATCTCTCTCTCTCTTGACCTCTGAATCTATTCGGACACGTGGTTAATTATTTCATAATAAAATAATCAAGCGGTTCGAGCACACTTACTAATAAAGACGTCCTTCTTAGTGTGTGTGTGGCGTGCCAGTACCACGGTCACAAGTGGTCGTGTTGCTACAAATGAGCGAATGAATGGTGCTCTGCGCTATGATCTTGACTTCTTCTCGAGCGATTGGGGCCGAGATTGGAACAAATTATCAGCCGTAGTTGGGCTTGATTTGTTTGATTAGTGCTAGACCTCTGTTTCATGGAATTTTCTTCTATTTATAGACTCTGTATTTCTCCGGCGGAGACAAAAATCCTAGTTGTGCTCTGACATGCGTCACATCAACCTTCATAGTTTCTATCTTACACTTTCACTTGTGATTGGCCAATCTGGATCGTGGAAATGTGACATTCAGATGCTTTCTGATAGCTTGGGCGGTGCATCTCTAACCTCGCGTTCGGTCTCAGACTCTTGCTCTCTCGGTGAGGCAAACAATTCCTCAGTCTACAAGAGCAAACAATCTCTTTTTGTTGTCGAGCTTGTTTCTTTCGTACCACACGCACTAAGTAAGCGAACTTCCTTTTTGTTTGCAACCTCAGTGAGCAAAACTTTCTTTTTTGTTTTGCAGAGCTCGACTTCTTTTGTTGTTTGGGCCTCGTGTGTGTGCTTGGATTAGATTTGCCCTTTTTTCAATTGCCGCAATCTTGGAAAGCCCATTTTTTAGGCCCATTAGCGAATACATATAAGTTTAACACTCTCCTCCTCCCCCCACCCACCCACCCACTCTGCACTAGCAGCCACCGACCGGTCCACTTGTAAGTTGTAGCCCCACCCTCTTGCCCTCGGATTGGGTTGATAAGGTTGATTAGAGATCTGTTTGAATTTGAAGCCCCCTGTTTCAAAGGGATATTGGGATTTCTTCAAAAAAAATTCTTCTAAATATCTTAGTTTTTAATAATAATAAATAAAAAAACTCAAATATCTTAGTTTTGGATAGAAAAGTGGATGAAAGTATAAAATTTTGATAGTAAGAAATAAATTGACTATTTTAATTAACTAATTAAATAAATTTTTTTATTCGAAGAATTAAATTGTGATTATTCAAGGGTAAAACGGCTGAAAATCTTTATTATGTTTACAAATAGGAACTTTTGTCTATGTTTATATAATTTGTTTTATTTTGTTAATGTCATTTATTTATTTATTTTTGAGTTAATCTAAGTTATGAGGCTACCACCTCCACAGCATATGTAACGTGTCAACCTCCAACACAGGTGTACACACATAGATCTAAGCAAACCCATGCATGGTCAAAATGGGCGACTCCGTCCGCATTAAAGAAGAATGGGACCCGTTGTGTTTCATTACTGGCACTTTCGTAGTTCCAGTGCATAATCATGGGCAGTTTCCAAATGTGGTGTCCATAAAAGGAAACCATTCAGAGCAATAGAAGAAGAAGAAGAAAAATGTCGACGGTGAAGAAGATGGCGGTTGCTCTGTTGGTTCTGTGTGCGGTGTTTTCTTGTATGGAGAAGGTGGTAGATTCTGTTGGAGTTGACTGCTATGATGCTTGCAACACTGGCTGTGTTCAAAGCAACAGTATGTAATTTCTGATTTCTAATCTATAAACAATTCCTAGCATATTCATAAATTTGTTTGTTTATATCACTTACCGGAGCGGAACTCGAACTTGGATGCGAGCGCATAGGCTCACTGTCCTGACCAACTGCCGTAACTCACATATATTGTACTGTTTAGAGTGGATTCGAATTTTGGACATCTTGAATATTAGATTGGAGAGAGAGAGTAGTGAGAAACTAGATTGTTTTTCATGTTAGGGAATTTATATTGAAGGGAGAAACATAATGTTTTGGTTAATTTGTATTCGTATGTAATGTAGTGACTGATTTGTTTTGTTATTTATGTAAATATGCAGCGAGACTTTATCAACGATGTGATCGCAAGTGCCGGATTAGGTGCGGTCCAGGTAAATCCCAAGTCTTCCATCGACCTTATCACCTTGGAACTTTAAGGCTTCTTTTGCCCAAGTGCCAGATTGAGTGCTTATTATTTTATTGTGAAATTTTTTTGGTTTGGTATGAACAGAAGGGCTAATTCTGTGTTTTATTGTATGTACAGATTCTGAAGTTGAGGGGAACCTAGAGTAAAAGCCAAAGAAAATTGGGGAGCACATCAGAAAGATCATAGAAAACAATATGTAATTTATGCACCTTTTTCTCTTCCTTTAAAATAATAATAATAATGGAAGTGACTTATGCACTTAAAGAAAGTATGTTATTTATTTTAAATTATGTCTTTTATAGTAGTTATGAACTTCATCCATTTGGGCTTGCCCAATTAGAGCATCTCCAATAATAGTAGTTAGTATTTTTCTATTTAATATTCATATTATTCACGTATATATGTATATTTTAATAATACTTTTGTTTTTATATATAGCTTAAAGATTCAGTAAAATATACATTTTTTAAAAAGCAAATATACAATACACATGTACATGTATTTTTCACCTTTAATACACGTGTTTTGTACAAAATTTTGAATAATACAAATAAAATTTACTTATTTTTCACATATTATTGAATAAAAATAATATATATTAAAATAAAATAAAATAATTAAATTAGAATATTATATAGTGACCGAACTTTTCAGTTGTATTTTGCTAAATAAAACATGTACATATTTTATTCGTACTTTTTCTGTTTCGTATTTTACTAACTAGCAAACTAAACTTTTCAAATTAAAGTTTGTTGACCTATGTGACAATTTGAAAATGTTTATTTGCTACTTTAATAATTTATGTCACAACTCACTTGCCAATTTAATTAATGTAATATTATGAAATAGAATGAAAAATATAAAAATATGTGAAGAATGTCTATATATTTATGACTTAAAAAGTAAAAGTGTATGTTTTTAACATTTTCAATGTAGGTTTTGTATTTCTAAAGTAAAATTAAATGTTTTGAAGAGTCAAGGTTAACTTACCACTCATGAAGAATATGAAGTCTCACATCGAAAGCTTGATGAATAAAATATAACATATGGTATTACCATTAATAATATCAAGGTCTTTTGTATTAAATTTCACATATATCAGATTATGCAAGTTGGGAGTTTGTCTCTCTAAAATCTTTGCATGGTATCAGAGTTGGATAATTGACTGTACTTGATTGAACCTGAATTAAACAAAAACTTTGAATTGAAGATGAATCAAACAAACACCAAATTTGAAACCATGAATTGAAAAAAATAACAAAAAAGCTACCGATGTGGAATTGGTGCATCCTGGTGTATTAATGAATGGTCCATGTGATGGGGAGTCTTGAAGAATATGAAGTTTCACATCAGAAAGTTGATAAATAAAATAAACATATAATGAATGGTTCCACTATTAATAGTATCAAGACTTTTTAAATAAAACTTCACACATGTCAGATTATGCATGTGATTAAATTTAAGATGATATCAATATTGTTAGTAGTGGGTTGAGAGTTTATTTCTCTAAAATCTTTATATCTTCCTACAACAAAAAGACGACTCATAATGCATTGCCTTCTCCTTCAACTTTTCTTCATTTGAAGAGAGTACGGGTTTGCAATTAGAATGTGAACATTAAACCATGGGGTGGAGAGAAAAACTTTCATCATCAAACGTGGGCCGTAAAAGAAAATGTTCGTTTACAGTGTATTAGAAAAATAATGGGAAAATATCATACCACAATATTGATTTTGACTTTAAAAAAAAAAAAAAAAAATCCTAGTTTGATTCATTTGCTTTGACATTTTTTCTTAAAAAACTTTTTCAGTAGGCCCATGAAAAAAGAAAAAAAAAGAAGCACAAGCAACACGACAAAGGTAGTAGGCTTGGATTCATCGTTGGTTAAACAAATTTTGTTTTACATTCTTATACAAGTCAAATCAAACATAATTAAAGAAAAAAACAAATGGTATTAACGGCCTTAATTTTAGATTTGGAAAGAAAGAGAGAGAAGAAAGAATGAAAGATAAGGTTACAACTTACATGGGAGAATCTATTGAATATAGTTGGAAGCTAAGATGATGATGAATACAGAAGAACAAAACCAAACCCTCTGCAGAACCTGTTCCCCTCGTCAGTCGTCAGTCAGTTTTGAAATAAAAGAAAAGGTCAAACACACCCATTTGGTCATCATCTTCTGTGAGTGGGAATATAAAATTCCACACCAAACGTATACTAGTGAAAACTCCAGTAAGTATTCATTCAAAATAAAATACACAGTAAAAGAAAAAAAGAAAAAGGAAAAGAAAAAAACCCAAAGACAATACTCTGGAGGACATGTCTCCCTTTTCTTCTTCTGGTTCGTGAACTCAATTTAATGTGGGCTTGGAGTCCGTATATATGAGAGAGAGAGAGAGAGAGAACCCAAAAGGTAGAAAGAGTGATGATGATAATGAAGAAGGTTGGTTCTCTACTTTTCTGACCTGACCTCCTTTTTCTTCTTCTGCTCTGCTTGATCTCTTTTTATTTTGCAAACCCCCAAAAAAAAAAAGAAGAAAAAAAACCAGAAATGATTGTTTGATTGTTGGTTAAGTTTGTCTTTGCTCAGCTGATGTTTGAGGTGCAGATCTATTATTTGTTTGGTTTTGTTGTTATTATAACAAGCTTTGTAAGGATTTTCCGAGCAATTTTTAGTTTTCCCACCTGGTTTTCTTGAGAAAATGCCCAGGAAAGTCGAGGGTTTAAGTTAGCTGCTCAAGTCTTTAGCTTTTTTAACATTAAGATGTTCTTGTTCTTTGCAGATCTTTGAATTGTTGGGATTAAGCCGTGGAGCAGTTTAAGCTTTGGGATAATTTGGGCTTTTTGGTTAACAGGTAAGTCCCAAGCTTTTGTTTTTGGTGGATGCGCAAGTTCACCTTCTTTTACCTCACCATTTGCTAAAATGAGTTCAACAAATTTGGAAAGAAGATAGCATGACAAAAATAAAAATAACAAATTATTTATGAACGTCAGGTCTAAATTTTGAGACTGCCCTTGTTATACTCGCTCTATCTTCATGTATCAATGATCTATTATTTTTACTTGAGTATTTGTGTATAAGTTGCTATAAAAATACGTTGTCCTAAATAAGATTTTTCTTCTTATGAAATATGGGTTCTTTTGCTTTGTATTTCTTTCTCCTTGGAAAACTAGGAATTGGATTTCCAGTGGATGAAGTTAACCAATACTTCTGACAGCAGTATGCCTTCTTAATCTGTTCTATATGCAGTTAGATTATCATTTTTATGGTCTATATTGATGGATGCCATGGACATTATTAGCTTATATGGCGTATAGATCGTAATTAGCCTTTTTTGAGTTTGAAAATGGTTTTAAAGTTTGGTTCTTTAGGTTACTTTGTAACCCATATGAATCTGCCTTTTCTACTTTTCTTTCACTTTTTTGTTGCCTTTCCTATATTATCTTATATCTTGTTCTCCATTAAGTATTTTTTTGGTGGCAATTGACACAGAGTCATTTTTTGTTTGTGGCCAGCCATATGCACAAGCTAAGTGGAAATCAGAAGATTTTAAAGAAGATAACACAATTTTTTTGGTACTCTTTTCCACCACAAGAATGTCATTCCGTAGTATAGTTCGTGATGTTAGGGATGGTTTTGGAAGCTTGTCCAGACGGGGTTTTGAAGTCAGGCTGATGGGCCATCATAGAGGAAAATCTCATGGATCATTAAATGATTTACATGACCAGCCTCTCATTGTTCAGAACAGTCGTTGGGCTAGCCTTCCCCCAGAACTATTGTATGATGTAATTAGGAGGCTGGAGGAGAGTGAGAGCACATGGCCTTCTCGAAAGCATGTTGTTGCATGCGCCTCAGTTTGTCGTTCTTGGAGGACCATGTGCAAAGAAATTGTTAAGAGTCCTGAGATCTGCGGGAAGCTCACTTTTCCTGTGTCGCTGAAGCAGGTTGAATCCTTTAATCCATTTAATCTGATGTACATCTTGACTTTGTGCCGATATGTTTTTTCTTTCCCAAGTTTGTATTGAAATCAAAGTTACTAAGATTCTGTATATGTTGCATTTTGTGGGAGATAATAATTTTTTATTAAAGCAATTGGACATCCTATGATGTTGGGAAAAGCGCTTACCAAATTTTCTTTTTTGTTTGGTTTTTCAGCCTGGTCCACGAGATGGACTCGTTCAATGCTTCATTAAAAGGGATAAATCTAATCTAACGTACCACCTGTTCCTGTGTCTTAGCCCTGGTAAGCATCTTTTCTAACCATTTGATTTGTTGCTGGCTATAGTAGCCTGTCGACCCATTTCTCCATTGATCAAATATTTCTAAATGTGAGTTAGCATTTATTTATCAATTAATAGTCTCATTTTTCAGCGCCCCAAAAAATCTCACTTTTAATGCTTGTCAATCATTGATTTCCATTCATATGCTGGTGTGTATCAGGTTAAAATGCCTCATCTTCTATATATATATGAATGTTTACCAATTTTTGATTTCAAGTAGTCTTGTTATGAAATGTAGGAGTCCTTAATTTATTCAGGTTGACTTGGAAAAGGGCTGAATATCTATTGTAGGTAGATATCTTTGATTTGAATGATGATCTGATCAAACATGGTCAACCGTAAGGAAAAACTTTGTGTGCATGTCATGTATTGATTGAGATAGCCTCTCTCCTCTAATGGAGGATGAATCCAATTAAATAGTTGTATGGTGAACATGAATATGGAATATTCATGAAGAGTCCTGGCATTTCGGATAAACCTAAGTAGTGAGAATGAATGTTCACTTTGATCCCACCTCTTCTCAAAGCCTACATAAACCCCCATTCACTTCCTCAGTTTTCAATTGATTATTTCACCAGTTAATCATCATAGTTTGAAAGAGAACCTCCCTTTGATTGAGAAAAATTAGGTAAAAATACATAAACCCTCTCAAGAGAATCCAAGAGAGCGTTTCGTATACGAACTTTTGTAAGATTATTCATTGAAATACCATTATTTTGCAGTGGAAGATTTTATCTGCTGTCTGTCGACATAGGTTTAAACACTGGACCAGTTATACTTTTTTGACTCTAAATAACTTGCATGCTTGCTTTATTTTAATTGCCTATTTTAATCACACAAGGGAGAGGGGAAAGTTTGGTCCAGTGAATACCAAATTATTTATTAACTCGTATTAGGTGCTGTCTTTCCCAACTGACTTTCGGGTAGTAAAGTAAATCATAGCTAGACTTGGCAGCTGATATTGATGCTGAACATGGGAAGCTCTGCAACTTTATGGTCCAACACTCAAGTTTCTGTAGTCCTTTAGAATTTCAATTAAG